GGCACTTCCAAAGAATTCTGAAAGGAAAATATTGCTGTACTTTTTATAGTGACTAAAAATGGCCTCTATAAGAACACATAACAGAAAGCACAATCAGCCTCTGTTCATTTTGCAAAAGAACTGTACATAAGAAAGACATCACTCTGCTCAATTCTACCCTGTAAACCTACAGCAATATGCAAGCCCTGATTCCTAATCCTCAACTGAACATAAAAGCAAGCAAGCTGTGGCTGCTTAGAGAAAGCTGAACACAGGTCTGATAAGGTAACTCAGTTTGTCTAGCACCTTTATCACCCTACCAGCAGATTAAATACACACAAAAAAGTCCACGAAAACAGGTCCCAGTTCCTGGGGTGCAAGCAAAGTTTGTCTTTCTCATCCTTTATCTCCGGAGTTGATGCTATGCACATACTGGGCACTCAATAAAACATTCATTAAATGGAAAATATTTCATCTCTCCAGGCTTGAGTGTCCTTACACATAAGCTCAAGAGTTGGGTGAGATCAGTGGTTTATGAAGTTCTTTTGAGTCACAAATCCATGATAATCTGACGGAAGCTGGTAACGCTCTCACCAGAAAAAATGCACACATGCATAATTTTACACACAGTTTCAGAGGGTTCACAGGCTTCTTGAAACTCATCCAAGGACCCCTAAGAACCTCTGGGCTGGATGGATGTCTATGAGATCTGATAGTCCACAGTTTCATGGTGGTTCCAAGCACTAAGAAAGCTTTCTGTTTGCTTGTTTGCGATGCACGGCATGTGGGATCTTAGTTCCTGGACAAGGGATCTAACCCATGCCCCCTGTAGTGGAAGCGCGGGAGTCTTAACCACTGGGACCGCCAGGGAAGTCCCAAGAAAGCTCTATCTTGTTCGATTAAGAGAACACTGCAGGGCTTCCCTGGTGGCGCAGGGGTTAAGAATCCACCTGCCAATGCAGGGGACATGAGTTCAATCCCTGGGCTGGGAAGATCCCATATGCCACGCAGCAGCTAAGCCCGTGTGCCACAACTACTGAGCCTGCGCTCTAGAGCCCGCGTGCCACAATTACTGAAGCCCGCGCACCACAACGAAGAGTAGCCCCAGCTCGCTGCAGCTAGAGAAACCCAGCGCGCAGCAACGAAGACCCAACGCAGCCAAAGACACACAAACAGATAGACAGATAAATAAATACATAAGTGTTCTTAAAAAAAAGAGAGAGAGAGAGAGAACACTGCAGGGGGAGTTCCCTGGCACTCCAGTGGTTAGGCTTTCACCGCCATGGCCCCGGGTTCAATCAATCCCTGGTAGGGGAACTAAGATCCCGCAAGCTGCTCGTTGCAGCCAAAAAAAAAGAAGAAAAAAAAGAAGAGAGAGAGAGAACAACACTGCAGGAGCACTAGATGTGGGCCTCCGCAAATGCTACCCAAAAGGTTTTCACCTCTGGCCTTACCACCGTGGGGCTGACAGTCAAACTCCAGTCTCCGGTCTCATTGCTCAGCACTCCGCAGGCGGGAACAGGCAAGAATCCTACGGGAGAGATCAGAATGCAAGGCACTATTGCCCAGCCACTAACAGGGTGCGCTCTTGAGTCAGGAATCCCTTTCCAAGCCTAGGATTGGACCCTTTACAAGCTGTGTGACTTTGGACAAGTGACCACCCCTCTGAACTTCAGTGTCTTCATTTGTTAAACGGATTAAAAGGTATTACTGTTCGTTTAGGAAAATGAGGTGATGCATTTAAGTACAGTGGATAGCTCAGCGAAGGCTAACTAGTAAGATTTCAAGCTTTCTTTTACTGAACCTGTCCTTCGCTCCTCTGCTCCACAGCAGCCCCCCATCCCGACTTTGAAGTGAACAGCGGCAAGGGACCCAGGGGATGCCACCTGGCCAGGCTTCTTGGGCGGCCTGGACCTGACCCAACCTCCTCCCTCCCGGAAGGGCCGGGCTCTTTACCCATCTCGTCCCGCAGCTGGGTCAGGGACACGGTCACATCCTCGGTGCCTCCAACCAGGGACGCACTGACTGCAGGGCCGGACATGCGGATGACAGGAGGCATGAAAACTAGCGGGAAGAAAGGGACAAAATGGAGTTAATAGTTCCAGAGCCCCTGCCTACGCTGGCTTCCTTTGGCGGAGTCTTCCGCAGCTCTCGGAGGAGTCTCAAATTTGGCCTCAAAAGCCTCGTCCCCTCCCTCAGCCCCGGTCCTGCAGGCCCTTGCCCCGCCTTACGCACCCAGGTCCCCCCACAGAGGCCTCAAGACGCTCTGCAGAAGAAGGAGCCTCAAGAGCAGAGGGACCGGCGGCGGCAAACGCATGCCTGGGGTCTCGCTGGGCCTGCACGGCAGGACCGCGCCCGGGTTGGAAGCCTGGAAGCGCGGGGACGCCAAGAAGCGGCCCCGTCTAACTCTCCGCCATCTTGTCAAGCGGAGCTATGGCAACCACCAATCGGCCGCCGGCCTGGCGGAGCGGCGTACCGTGATTGGACCAGCAGCAGAGAGCGCCCGCCCTCAAACCCAGCTGTCGCATCTCAGCCCAGCCCACGGGCCTTAAGTCCTTCCGCCGCCTTGACTCCACGCAAAGGATCACGAAAAAGTAGGAACGCGCGTTCATTTTAAAAGCTAGAGTTCCTGCAACCTGCAGTTAATTCAATCAACCTGGAGTTAATGCAAGGGCGCGCCTACAGACACTGGATTGTAAACAAGCAACTTAGTAAACTTGATTTTTATGGTGATTTGGGGGGAGGGACAAAAAGGGGGTGAGGCTGCAGTGCTATAATTGTGTTGTTGAATTGTTTTTATTATTCTCCCAGTTTTCTGAAGGCTTTGTTTGTACCACACAGAGCTCTCAGAACTCCGAAAGCAGGTCTTATCAAAGAACACACAAGAGGTTTTGCCCAGCATTAGGGAGAGGCAAAAGCATCAAAATTCTGCCTGAAAAAGAATTCCTTTTTATGTCGGTAGCCTCAAAGTATCTCTAGCGTTAATATAGTTCGGTAACTAAGGGTGCAGGCTCTGAGGTCGGACTGCCTGGTTTGGGTTTCACCTTCCTTCTACATTAAGTGACCTTGGGAAAGTCACTTAACCTCTCTAAGCTTGGGCTTCCTCATCTTTATTATTATTATTATTATTTATTTTTGGCTGCATTGGGTCTTCGTTGCTGTGTGCGGGCTTTCTCTAGTTGGAGTGAGCTGGGGCTACTCTTTGTTGTGCGGGTTTCTCATTGCGGTGGCTTCTCTTGTTGAGGAGCATGGGCTCTAGGTGTGCGGGGTTCAGTAGTTGTAGCTCACGGACTCAGTAGTTGTGGCATGTGGACTGTAGAGTGCAGGCTCAGTAGTTGTGGCGCATGAGCGTAGTTGCTCTGCGGCATGTGGGATCTTCCCAGACCAAGGCTTGAACCCGTGTCCCTTGCATTCGCAGGCGGATTCTTAACCACTGGGCCACCAGGGAAGCCATTGATTCATTCATTCATTCATTCATTTGGCTGCACCAGGTCTTAGTTGCAGCACTCGGGATCTTCAATGAGGCATGCGGGATCTTTAGTTGTGGCATGTGGGATCTATTTCCCTGACCAGGGATGGAACCCGGGTCCCCTGCATTGGGAGCATAGGGTCTTAGCCACTGGACCACCAGGGAAGTCCTTCCTCATCTTTAAAAAGGAGATAATAGTCTCTCCCAAATAGGATTGTGTGAGAATTAAGTGAGGTAGCACATCTAATGAGCTTAGGCTAATGCCTGGGATATAGTAAGCACTCAATAAATGTTCACTCATTTTGTTAGCCATCAGAGCAGTGGTGAACCAATTCACTGCGAGAATCCATGTATGGTGTGTAAGAAATCTTGTATTAAAACTTTCATACCAATCTATAATTGTACAGTATTTGTAACAATATTTTTGTGAGAGTTTTGGCAAGATTTGAAATTAAAGTTCTTCAGAGTTGAATAAAAAACTGACATGTGACCAAATCCAGGTAAAAAGTAGAGTTGAAGATGAATTGAATGAGCATGAAATAAACAGTGAATGAGAGGAAATAAGCAAATATGAAAGTTTAAATTATTTTATTATAAACATTTATACAAAATAAACAACAAACACAACTGTTAAAAATAAAATTTAAACAGAATTAGGCCAGTTCATAAAACATGTCAAATGAAAAAGTAATAACAAAAACCTTATCAGCTTGTTTGAAATTATTCATCTTTAGATATATGGTTCTTTGTTTCCTAGACTTAAAATAGAGATCTCCATTACACATAGTTAGGCTGTGAAATATTAAATATTATTTTAAAAAGACAAACAGATTCTTAAAGATTAGCAAATACTTGCAAAGTGATCACCAAAATCTTTGTGTATTTGTTAACAAAACTGTAAATACAGAATATAAAATCTACTTGAAAGAATCCAACCAAACACCAAATTGCTTAAATGAGACTCAGTTTCTGAGATGGTATCAAGAGAAAATTAAAATCTTATTTATATACAAGGTTGTATACACAAATAGGTCTTTGTCAATTTATTTTTTTAAAAAAATTAAATTGGCCACCATTCCTAAAAACACTTCCTACACTCTGCTGGAATTTAAAAGGACTTTTAATAACTTCAAGGTTACATAGAAAAATAAGTTTTTTATTGTTGCAAATAATTTTTCTTTTGAACTTATAGAATTTTTCAGTATTAAGTCCAAAGCTTCTAGAGAACAGTTCTCCAGTATTAATGCTTTCCCCCTCCTCATTAAAAAAGGGATGAATTCTATGTGGGGCAACACTTCACTGTACAGAATCCATTCTCCCCAAGAAATTCCCCCTCAGAACCCAGACCCTGGCTTTCACAAATAAGCTCTTCACACAACTGTTCTTAAAGAAAAAGTTCCCACCAGACTACTGCACTCACTCTCCTTACTCATTTAAAATCAGATTTTAGAGATATTCAGTGACAAACTATCTGGATAACTCTGACCAAACATGTACTAATGTCAGACAAAAGAATAAGTATCTGCTAATATCTGGAGCTAAACCTCAATCTAGAAAACAAGGATTTTATTTATGTGACTACTGTCGAAGTGTTGACTCAAGTAACATGTTCTATCTTGATTAATGCCATTACTCCATAGTCACTTTTTCCAAAACTGTGTTCAAATCTCACATCATACATTTCACAGTAAGAACCTAGACTTGGTAGGTTCTGAGGCTTATAATCAGTCCGTACAGAATGGCTTTGACAAACGATCACCTCATTTAAAAAAAAAAAAATCACAAATTTGTGCTTTCTTCCTCCATTTCTGGACAAAAACCAGTCAGAAAAAATTTTAGGGTATATTGCATAGAATGACTCCCTCAAATAAATCAGCCCCCAAGAAGCATAGGATGAGGATGATGTTTTAGTCTATTTCCTGTAAGAAAGTTTCACTAAAATTTATCTTACACATATCTCTCTTTTTTTCAGAGCCTTCCTAACAAAGATTCTGCCATATAATTTCTATTAATAGCTCTTAAGTAATAGGGAAACAATTTTTACTGTCATGCGGACATTTTCAGTTTCTTTTTCTTGGCCTTCAGTACAGGAGGGAGAGAAATCTTAAAGGCTGTCCTGAAATAATACAGAGAAGGAAATACTTTTTAATGCTCTAAATCTCTATAAAGGGCAAGCCAGCCACACAGCCTCAAAGATACTTACTCGCATGTAGTGCAGATAGGGCTGAAGTTGCAGAATACTGCAAATTGAAAAAACGAAAAATGAACAGGACGGTCTAACAGCCACACAGTTGGAGATGTTTTCTGCACACTCCTCCACAACATAGAAAAACTCAGCGCTACGTGAACTTACTTGACAAGCACACAGAACACACGTAGCCGATTTCAATGAGATTTCGATGGCAGAAGCAAGCAGCCCGGTAGTCGACATGAACTGGAGGTGGAAGGGTTAACTGAGACCTCTGATCTTGATCAGGAAGAAAAACCCACTGTTAAAAAAAAAGCAAGGAAATTTTATGTAAAACATGGGGGAAAACAACCCGAAGCCAGGACACAGATAGCAGATATTAGCCAGTAAACACTGAGAATACTAAATTAGATTTTCCTTGAAAGTCTATTAGAAATAGACTATTAGAAATGTGTTTCTAGCCATTCCACAATTATTGAGCACCACCACACAGGCATACAACATTCCGCATACAGCTTACAGGGTCCAAAGGCTCCCTTAAGTTCGAATTCCCTAGGTCATCCCTCTGTTCCTTTCTTCCAGTTACTAGGCATCAGCCATCTTACTCCCGTTCATTCCCCAGGAAACAGGGGTCTCACTGGACTCAAGGAATTAGGTTCACTGTTGACATTTCCTTACCAGTAAATACTGCAGAAGGGAGGGCATCTGAGGCACCTTCAAGTACAGTCCCCCTGTGATGTCACAAGCCTGCAAGACAAAGGGCTCTCAGCCAAACCAGCACTCGCTTAGCTTTTCCAGCGGGAGGTCATTCTCAGCAGCAACTCTTCAAGTCTCCAAAAGGAGAGGAAGATACGACACAGAATTAAAAGGGAATCTTTCCCAGAGTGCAGGAGGACCAGAAACTTGCAGCTACCTCTTCAGATGTTCAAATATCTTGCGTTTTCCCCTTGGCCCACACCCTTTTACCCTCTGAAGACTGGAGTATAAGAGTACAAGCCCTTTTTCCTGTTAGTTTGCTACTGATACATTTCTATTCTTGCCATGTTTATTCATTCTCATTGTATCTTTTAGTAACAGTTTGAGACGTAATTCACATGCTATTAAACTCACCCTTTTAAAGTGTACAATTTACTAGTTTTTAGAATATTCAGAGTTGTGCAACTGTCACCACTATCTAGTTGCAGAACATTTTCATCACCCTAAAAAGAGATCCCATCCCCATTAACAGTCATTCTCCATCCCTCCTTTCCCCTGGCAGCACTAATCTGCCTTCTGTCTCTATGGATTTCCCTATTCTGGACACTTCATACAAATGGAATCAGACAATATGTTTCCTTTTACTTCTTGCACTTAGGATAATGTTTTCAAGGTATGTTCATATTGTAGCATGTATCAGTACTTCATTCCCTTTTATGACCTAATAATATTCCATTGCATAGATAGACCACAATTTATCTATCCGTTCATCCACTGATGGGCATTTGAGTTGTTTCCACTTCTGGGTTATTATGAATAGCACAGCTATGAATATTCACGTACAGTATCTTTTATGGACACGTTTTCATTTTTCTTAAATATATATCTTAAGAATGGAATTGTGGACTCAACTGGTAATTCTATGTTTAACTTTCTGAGGAAGTTTCAGACTGTATTCCAAAGTGGCTGTACCTTTTCACATTCCCAACAAACACCATGCACTTACCATCAAGCTTAAGAAATAGGATAATTCTAGAACCTTTGAAGCTGGTGTACTTTCTGGCTGTATCTCCCTTTCCCCACGCATCCCCAGCAGTAACCTAAACTAAAAGTTTTCCACAATTTTGTGCTTTTAACTAATCTTTTAGGAAATAATATTTCTTGCGGTCAAAAAAACGTTTATCAAAAGTTTCGTAATTTCTTCAGTCTTATTTCTGTTTTTTTTTTCTTTTCCCTTTTTAGTTAAAGTAAAATTCAGTTTCATATTTTGATTAAAAATAACATCTGGTGGTGCGGTGGTTAAGAATCTGCCTGCCATTGCTGGGGACACCGGTTCAAGTCCTGGTCTGGGAAGATCCCACATGCCGCGGAGCAACTAAGCCTGTGTGCCACAACCACTGAGCCTGCACTCTAGAGCCCGCGAGCCACAACTGCTGAGCCCACGTGCCACAAATACTGAAGCCCGCGCGCCTAGAGCCCGTGCTCTGCAACAAGAGAAGCCACCACAGTAAGAAGCCCGTGCACCACAATGAAAAGTCGCCCCTGCTCACCGAAGCTAGAGAAAGCCCACGTGCAGCAACGAAGACCCAACGCAGCCAAAAATAAATTAAATAAATGTAAAAAAAAAAAAGAAACATCTGGGGGAGTGGAATGAATTTGGAGATTGGGACTGACATATATACACTATTGATACTATGTATAATATAGATAACTAGTGAGAACCTACAGTATAGCACAGGGAACTCTACTCAATGCTCTGTGGTAACCTAAATGGGAAGGAAATCCAAAAAAGGGGATATATGTATATGTATAGCTGATTCATTTTGCTGTATAGTAGAAACTAACACAACATTGTAAAGCAACTATACTCCAATAAAAATAAAAAATAAAAGTAACATGTAACAGTGCTGTCCAAAAGAAATATAATGTGAGCAACGTATGTAACTTTTTATTTTCTAGCCACATAAAAAAGGAAAAATAAAGAGATAAGGAACTTCCCTGCTGGCGCAGTGGTTAAGAATCTGCCTGCCAATGCAGGCAACACGGGTTCAAGCCCTGGTCCGGGAAGATCCCACATGCCGCAGAGCAACTAAGCCCGTGCGCCACAACTACTGAGCCTGCGCCCGAGTCCACGAGCCACAACTACTGAGCCCGTGTGCCACAACTACCGAAGCCCACGCACCTAGAGCCCATGCCCTGCAACAAGAGAAGCCACCGCAATGAGTAGCCCACGCACTGAAACAAAGAGTAGCCCCCGCTCGCTGCAACTAGAGAAAGCCCGTGCACAGCAAGGAAAAGCAAATGCAGCCAAAAATAAATTTATTTTTAAAAAAAGAGATAAAATTAATTTTAAGAGCATTTTCATTTAACTCAATATATCCAAAATGTTATCATTTTAACATGTAATCAGTATAAGTATCATTAATGAGATATTTTACATTGCTTTTTTCAATACTAAGTCTTTGAAATTCAGTGTGTATACTTATGCACATCTCAATTCAGATCAGACTCATTTCAAGAGCTCAACAGCCATATGGCTACCATAAAGAATAGCGCAGATCTGGAATATGATCCTATTTTTATAAAAGTCTTTGCTTAGTGACCTATTCTTCCATCTGTATGTATAGAGAGATCTGTCATGCTGTTCACCTAATACTAACAACAGTAACTTTCAGATGATAGGATTTGAAGGGAATTTTTTTTTTTTTTTTTTTTTGCAGTACACGGGCCTCTCACTGTTGTGGCCTCTCCCGTTGCAGAGCACAGGCTCTGGACACGCAGGTTCAGCGGCCATGGCTCATGGGCCCAGCCGCTCCGCGGCATGTGGGATCTTCCAGGACTGGGACACAAACCCATGTCCCCTGCATCGGCAGGCGGACTCTCAACCACTGCGCCACCAGGGAAGCCCTTTTTTTAACTTTTAAAAAATACTTTTCTGTGTTGCTTGAATTTGTTTTAATGTGTAAATTACTTTTACAAATTCAATCAAATCATTGTGTAAAATGTAAATAAAAATATCAAAGAAACCAGAGAGATGTTGGTGCTCTAATCTAAAGCATCATACAGGCTAATCCCTAAAAATGTGTGGGGACTTCCCTGGTGGTCCAGTGGATAAGGCTCCGAGCTCCCAATGCACGGCCCCAGGTTCAATCCCTGGTCGGGGAACTAGATCCCGCATGCCGCAACTAAGACTCGGCACAGCCTAAATAAGTAAATAAATTAATTAATTAAATATTAAAAAATAAAAATGTGTGAAGACTGGCAGATGAAAAGCATTTAACAAAAAGTTAAGAGAACACACCACGCTTTCATAACCACCAACACCAAGCATTCATTTAAAATATACCTTTTGGGCATCCCTGGTGGTGCAGTGGTTAAGAATCCTCCTGCCAATGCAGGGCACACAGGTTCGAGCCCTGGGCCAGGAAGATCCCACATGCCGTGGAGCAACTAAGCCCATGCACCACAACTACGAAGCCTGTGCTCTACAGCCCGCGAGCTACAACTACTGAAGCCCGCACACCTAAAGCCCATGCTCCACAACGAGAAGCCACCGCAATGAGAAGCCTGCACGCTGCAACAAAGAATAGCCCCCGCTCGCTGCAACTAGAGAAAGTCCGTGCACAGCAACAAAGACCCAATGCAGCCAAAATAAAATAAATAAATAAATTTATTTTAAAAATAAATAAAAATAAAATAAAATATACCTGTTGGAGGAGTCCTGAATCGGAGTCTAACACACAGGCATCAATCAAAATATTCTGAAATGAACATTTCAAAAAATATTATAGGAATAATAATGACTACCTTACAGTGAGAACCTACTATATGCCAGACTCTATTCTTAAAATGGCTCATTTAACATGCATAATAACTCTGCAAGGTAGATATTTGATTTTCATTTTACAGCTGAAGCACCCAGGCCTTGGCCGGGCGGTGGTCACAGAGCCAAGGGGAAGCAGTGCTGTCAACCCCAGTCTGCCTGTCCCCAAAGTCCATGGTCTTTTCACTATATCATGCTACCACTCCAAGACGGAGAATATTTTACATGGCTCTAGCAGCACTTTAGGTTAAAACTGAAGTTTTAAGGAAGTTTTCTTTTAACATATCAAAGAAGAAAACGTATTAGTGATACTCATCTGAACACTTCGGTTATTTGCAAAGTAAAAATATCAAATCTTTATAAGACCTCCCTGAAGCAAAGAGACAAAGAAACGGAAGCAAGGTATGCAGCAAACTATAAAACCTAGAATTCTTAGCCTGGGGTCCAAGGATGGGCTAAATGGTTACAGGAATACCAGAAAACTATCTGCAAAACTGTTTGAGTGCATATTTTTCTGGGGACCCATCAGATTCTCAAGAGTCCAGGACCCAAAACAGAGAAATGACTAGTATTGTACAAAATATGGATTCCAGATTCCCAATCCCTTAATAAGTATCTAGTCAGAATACCTCTCTAAGTAGGTCATTCAAACAATAAAATTAACTCCTTCATTATGAAACCAATATTCTTTAAAAAGAAGGCTTTCAATTCACCTGCTTCTGTGCTGCAAAGATGACATTCATGAAGTTCATATACTGTAACGTGCTGTCTTCTGCAGCCTTAATAACCTAAAAATCACATCCATGTTAATACCTTTCAGCCACATCCTAGTATTCTCACTCAAATGTCATCACAATATACTACAAATTACAACCAATATCATCTTTCTAATTTGTCTTTGAAGTTATTATTAAATAATACCTAAAACTGTAAAGATGACTGCAAAAATCTCCCCCAAATCCTATCCCTCAAGAAATAACCCTTGTTAATAGTTTCTAAAGAGCACTTATGTGGCCATGTATATATACTCACACACACACACCCCAGGATGATACTCTATCTAGTGTTCTGCAACCTGCTTTTTCAGTCCACCATATCTGGGGGAAAAATCTTACATCAATAAATTTGGATGTAACCATCCTTCATGCTGAGTTCATAGGTTTCCACCGTTTAACCAGTTACCTATAGAAGACACTGAAGCAGTTTGCAAACCTCGGTTTTAGACAATGCTCTAACGAACACTCTCATCTACCCTTTGCACAACTCTCCGATTAGCTCCTAAAATAATCAGTGAGATTATAAAGTGTCTGCACATTTAATTTTGATACATATTACCGAACTGCCCTCCAGAAAAGCTGTACCAGTTTATCCTCCTGTGGGCGGTGCAAGGGAACAACCACCAGTAGGGCTGACCATATTCCCAAATGCTAACTGGTCATTTTCATTTCCTCTTCTGCAGATTGCTCGTCTCCCACTTGTTTCTTCAGAGTCAACCCTGGCTTTTAAAAATTAATTTACAAGAGCTCCTTTTTAGTTTAGAAATATTACATTAATCCTGTCAGGTAGCTATACTGAAAGTACTTTTTCCTAATAGTTTTTTTTTTCCCCATCCTTGTTTTGGGGGTTTCATTTTTTTGAGGTCTTACGCTTCCCTTTAAAGTTTCATATCATGCTTAGCAAGATACTCATCAACACAAGACTATAAACAGATATTTTCTTCTAGAGCTTTTATGACTTGAATTTTTACATTGAAATGTCTGATCTTTACTATGTGTTTAGGTATAAGCAGTGAGATCTAGCTTTGCTTTCCCGCAAATGGCCAATCAACTGGCCCAGTACCTTTTACTGAAAAATCCATTTCCCTCCCACTAATTTGAAGTGCTTCGTTTATCACGTCAAACCCCACTGTGTACCTGGTTTCTGGACTCTAGTCTTTTCCATTATCTGTTTGCCTACTACTATACCAGAACCACAGTCACTGTAGCTTTATAATGTGTTTTAATGCCTAAAGGAGTGTGCACAAAGAAGAACAAAGAGAACTGCTCACTACCCAGTTCTACAAGGGTTAACGGGGAACTCACTGCAGCTGCCCACCAACAGCTCACCCTGAGAGGAGTTCAGGATGAAAAACAGGATAAGGGACTCTGTGCTTTGGATAAATAGGCCTTTAGATAGTTAGATGCATATCTCAGGAAGAATTTCAATGACCCCAGATCCTTGCCTCTTTGCAGGCAAGAACTGAAAAAAGAAATAGAAAAGCACTAAAATCACTAACTTCAGATATCTGTTCTTCGTAATTAGCAGTAATCTTTTACCAAGATATATGCTTGACTGCATGAATTTCCTAGCCAAAAAAATCATATATAAACTGGCTTCTCCCCTACCTCTTTGGGGCAGTTTCCTCACAGCTGACTGGCTGTCTCCTGGGCTATAACCCTCAGTAAGACTCTGGATAAAACTTACAACTCACAACTCTTATGTTGTGTGTCTTTCTTTAAGTCAACTGGAGCAAGTTCCTGCCTACTATTTTCTTTCAGAAAGCTCCTGGCTATTCTCATTGATTTATTCTTTCAGATAAGCTGTTGACTTTCTTAAATCCCCCCACTCTGCCAGGAAAAAAAAATCTGATTAATATTCTGAGATTGCATTGAACTTACAGTTTAATATTGGAAAAATTGACATTGAAGAATAAAGTATGGATCTCCAAAAACTAAGGGTTACCAGTGGGGAGAGGGAAGAGGGGAGGGACAATATAGGGGCAAAGGATTAAGAGGTGCAAATTATTATGCATAAAATAAGCTACAAGGATACACTGTACAACTGTACAAAAATATGGGGAATATAGCCAATATTTTATAATAACTATAAATGGAGTATAACCTTTAAAAATTGTGGATCACTGTATCATACAGCTGTAACATAAATAACATTGTATATCAACTATACTTCAATTTTTAAAAAGTACAAATTTTATCGGAACCATACAGAGAAGATTAGCATGGCCCCTGCGCAAGGATGACACGCAAATTCGTGAAGCGTTCCATATTTTTAAGTGAGACAGTGGCATGGACATATGTACACCACCAAATGTAAACTAGATAGCTAGTGGGAAGCAGCCACATAGCACAGGGAGATCAGCTTGGTGCTTTGTGACCACCTAGAGGGGTGGGATAGAGAGGGTGGGAGGGAGATGCAAGAGGGAGGAGATATGGGGATATATGTATATGTATAACTGATTCACTTTGTTATAAAGCAGAAAGTAACACACCATTGTAAAGCAATTATACTGCAATAGAGATGTTAAAAACAATAATAAATAAATAAATAATAAAATACAAATTTTAAAAAGAAAAAAAAATATGGCTCTCCATTTATTCAATTCTTTCACGTCTCTCAGAATTTTAGTTTTTCACCATAATCAATTTTACGTATTGCTTGTTAATTAATTCTGGGTACTTAATATTTATTGTTTCTATTATAAATGGGTCTTATTTCCCATTATGTTTTCTAATTGGCTTTAGCTGGTATAAAAACATCGTTTTGATATCTTTTTAATCTTACCAATATCCTTGATTTCATTTCCTGATTATCTATAAAGAGATAAAAACAGTTTACAATTTAACTGAATCTTATTAAACGTATTACATATAAGGTTTTCTCACCAATTTTTAAACAGTACCTCAAAGTTATAGTAGTAAAATAAAGATTACAGTCTCATAGAAGAATGTAGGCGCCTACCTTTAACATCCTTGTTCATTCTATGAATGTCTTATTTTCTTAGCATTAAGGAATTTAAAAATATTATTTCATAAATACTAATAGTAAACAGAAAAATAACCTCAATTTTAGTTAAATAAATCCAGCATCCACCCAGCTGAAAAAAGGAAAAGCTCCAAGGCCCACAATAAACACATAAAACAAGACTGATTGGGAGCTTCCAATTACTAACTCTGTAATCAAGTGGGCTTTGTAACCTGACCAAAATATGATCTTTATCCCAGAAAATTAAAATTAGTAGATTTGATTGTTCTTGATTATCCACCTGCTTGTTCTATGATTATCCACCATGTCCTGGATTTGAATACTGGGAACACAAGTAAATCAATACACCATCAAATGAGATAATGAATTTGAAAAGCATATCCAGATGATCAGACACCCCCAATCAAGGTCTGGACAGACTCAATATTGTACAAAACTAACAAACTAAATTACTTAAGACTGAGAAAATATCACACAAACATAATCAAAATGCTTATAAAGGTGTGCAAAATAACACATTCTCCTGTAGAGAAGCAGCTAGCTACTCATTTAGTAAGCCCCAGGGTTAGTAAATGGCTTTTTAAATCAAACCCTGCTTCCAACACGAGAGACCAAAAAAAATATTTTTTAATTTGTCTAATAAGAAGCAAAGAAGCATCCTGAAGAACAATGCATCATGAGCAAGACATGCTGGAGAAACCAGAGTTTTCTCATTCTTAGCTTGTCCTAAAAACATGTCAAAGCCAAGATAAACTATTTTTTGATTATCTACCACTTTAGAATACTCATGCCTTCCATTAACATGGGCACCCAAGGTTCTGAGAACTATCACAAGTTCAGATCTCTTTATTACAAAAAAACACCTTCTGAATGATTAAAACACCAAGGATACAGCAAAGAGCTTTGGCAAGGGATCCTGCCAGCAGAGTTTCTGTATGTTGTCCCTCTATGTCACCTGTAGATAACAAAAAACATTAAAAAGGGAATTTTTAGGTACTTTCTTGACCTAAAATCATTTTCAAACCAAAGCATTCTTCATGAATGAAATCAGATGACATTTTCAAACTGGGTTTAAAAACATAGATAAGCAATTTTTAAACATTTTCTCAATTTAAAATACCCCGGTGGTTGGGGGCTGAAGGGGCAGGAATGGGGGGCTGTTGTTTAATGGGTATAAAGTTTCAGTTTTCAACGATGAAACAGTTCTGGAAATGGACAGTGGTGATTTTGCACAACAGCGTGAATGTACTTAACACCACTGACCTGTACACTTAAAAATGGTTAAAATGGTAAATTTTATGTTATAAAAAACAGATAATAAAAAATATCCTGGTGTTACTGGGGAAGGTTGTGGTTGCTCAATGACCTAAGTGGTAGCAGAGGCCCTGTGCAACTGCAGGCAGCCTGGACAGTGGCCCCTGGCCAGGCCCCGAGCCCTTCCCACTGCCTCCCACCTGCCTGGGAAAGCCGTGAAAAGAGGACTGGAGAAAGTGCCCTGGCTGTGGGAGGCAGGAACGAGGTTTACAACTTATTTGGAGACTTGAGTGAAAAACAGTCACTCTCATAAAAATAAAAATTCTATACCTTCAGTGCAAGAAGGTGGGGAGCCCAGATTGACACTGTGCGAACAGGGCCTGCAACTGGTCCAGGAGCACTGATACCCCATGGGGAGGTCAGACCAGGAAAGGTCTGGAACACTATACTGAGAAGTTGGGACTTTGCCCTGGGGGCCAGTGGTTGCTCAAAACATGATTCGAGAACCAGCTGTAGGAATATCACCAGGGAACTCAATAGAAACACAAATTCTTGGGCCCTCCCTAAACCCACTGAATCAGAAACTATGGAGTGGGGTTCAGTATTTCATTTTAACAAGCCCTCCAGGTGATTTTTAACAGTTTTATTGGGGTATAACTTACAGATCACAAAATTATCTTTTTAAGCACACAAGTTAATGATTTTTACTAAATTTATAGGGATGTAAATCCTCGCCACAATCCAATTGTAGAACATTTCCATCACCCCGAAAGATCACTTGGGCCCATTCCTATCAATTCTCTGCTCCTCCCCAGCCCCAGGAGAAATCATTAATCCACTTTCTGTCTCTAGAACTGCCTTTTCCCCACAGGTGATTTGGACACAGGAGGCAGATTGAAACCACTGCCTGCAGGCAACAGGGAATCAGCAAAAGGTCTTTAAGGGAGGGAACAGCAGCTCTGATATTTAGGATGATACCTCTAGATGCTGAGTGGACAGACTGGAACGGAGAGAGACAGGAGTCGGTTAAGAAGTTGCTAACAACAATCTAGAGCAAAGGCTCTCCACCTGGGCAACTGTGCCCCACGGGGGACATTTGGTTCTCACAACCGGGGGATATTACGGCATCCAGTTGGTTGAGGCCAGGGATGCTGCTCAGTATCCTTCCAAGCACAGGAAAGCCCCACAATAAAGAACTACCCAGCCCAACATGTCAGCACTGCCAAGGCTCAGCTAGCAGGTAAGATGGCAGGTAATAAGGGGTCAGACTTTGGAGATACTGCTGAGGATAGATTAATAGGATCTCATAGCTGATTAGATGTTGGATGAGGAGGAAGGAGTCAAAAAAGAAAATTTTGGAAAAGTAGGTGGCTGGGGGATGACAGAAATAGGAAATGGAAATGGTGGTCTGAGAGAAAAGATAATGAAACTGGTCTGGGCCGTGTTAATGAGACTGTGGGACACTTAAGTGGAGACATTTGCAGCTTGAAAGAAAGGCTAGATTAGAGACAAAAACTGGGAAGTGTTCATAAATAAATGATAATTAATGACAAGAGTGGATAAGAACACACAGAGGGAGAAAATAAGAAAATAACCTGGCAGAATAAAAAAAGTATATATTTTTAAGAAACAAGAAGAAAGAAGAAAAAGTCAGAAATGGAAGAAAGAATGGTCCAAAAAAGAGGAAAACTAGGTCAACAGGCTATCCTCAGAAACCAGAGCATTTTAAGAAGCGGAGGATGGCGAACAGTGTCAATGCTGCAGAGGTCAGGCAACTAATGCACAGGCTTTGATGGAAAAGATTTTTTAAAAGAAAAGAGAGAATGAAGTAAATAGCATCGAGATCCTCAAAGTTTTGGACTCAAAGCCTCAAGGACCTCCACATTCAACTCCACTTGCAAACAGCAATAATGGAAGAAAAAAAAAAAAGCTGAAAGCAGTTACTCTTGGTCATTAGATCTTTGATCTCTTCAACAATAACTTCATTTGCTGCTGTTAACAACTCATATTTTCCATCTTTACTCCCTGAGGGAGTAAATTCAGAAGAAGGGTTGCCAGGGTCTCCAAAGAAGTCTCCGAGTCTGCCATTCTTTCCAGGATATAAGAATCGACTGAAACAGAAAAACAAAAAAACAAAAAGAACCTAGTTACACCAGGACTTGAAGCCCTCACTAAACATCAAAGTGAAATCCAGCACAGACAACAAAAACCACACCACACCAAGATTCCATAATAAATTTCAGTTTTAAAGAATGTAGAAAATAGGCAAATGGGCAAACATGAGTCTACCACCACAGAATATTTTGATGATTCCACTGTTTTCTTAAAAAACGAGAAGAATAAAGAAGGTACTGGGTTACAGTCTCTTGAAATGCTTTACAGTCTCTTGAAATGCTTCATACCAAATTCTTACCTACTACTGGTTTATTATTTGAGGTATATTTATCTACCCCAGTAATATCTGGTCCAAGGGTCCCTAAGCACTGGACAGGAAGAGTAATCATAATGGTCATACCTTTCTTGAATGTGACTTGCTATCACAGCAAGTTTGTTGGAACGATTCATGAATAAATGAGAATTTCCCAGCACCATCACTGCATCTATGCATTTTGATAAAGTAAACTGTTGAAAAACAGAAGACAAAAGAAAGTAAATTAGCTATCCAAATAGCTATGTCAGGTCTTGAAATGATTAAGATTTCATTTAAATTTTAGACAATTATTCACTTCTAAAAATTTGCTCTGGAGCCCCCCCCCCTCCAAAGTCATAAGCAAAAACATTTGAAACTTAAAGTTTTCCAATACTGAACAGCACAGACTTGCCCATTTCTGACTTGCTTAGAAAAACAACACATGGCGGGTCAGATCTCACGGAGCGGAGCAGAGCAAAATGAAGGAAGAATTGCTGTTGGGGGATGGGATGGAACTGGGGAAGTAAGGAGATACAGTCCTTTTTTATAAACATGATGACTGATTTGTGCTAGAGATGACCTAAATATAATTTAGTCAGTAGCATCAATCTTTACTAATACTGGTTATAGAGAACTGCCCTTACTTTTTCTCCTCCCTTACATAACTGTCTACCAGCTGCATTTTCATCCTCCACGATAATGAAAACAGTCCAATTTGAAATATAGACCGAAGAAAGACAAAAATTCCAACTGAGACAAGAAATCATACGCAAAGACATTCATTTTCACTGTTATTTTTCCAGCTGTTATACTGTTAATTGATACAACCTATTTATTCATAAATAAATATATTCATAGCAAAAATATGGATAAACCTGAAAAAAAGAAACTATAGTTTTCTCATTTTACTTATGAAACCAATTCTACATCACTACAATATTCCACAAATGTTTTCTGCATAACATTCAGGGAAGAGCAAACATATCACAACTTCTATGATAAAATTACTAGCAAACCATTGCTACACATGGAATAGACAATTAATATACACTGATTAAATTGGTAATTGTAAAACTTTTGAATTCATTCATTAAGTATCCTGAGCACCTATTATATGCCAGGCAAAGACCCCTTCTTTCATGCAGTTTACATTCCAACAAGTACTAATATTACTAAAAAACACAGGTGGATATTTTTATAATCATGTAATAAAGCATGTTTCTCTTAAAGAAATACTTCAAGCAGAAAATAAAACTGATAAATTTCACTCATTCTATTTTTGAAAATGTAAAACAAACCTATTAAAATTTCTGTATGGCAAAAAAAAAGACTAAACAAAAAAAGTGAGGGCTTCCCTGGTGGCACAGTGGTTGAGAGTCCGCCTGCCGATGCAGGGGACACGTGTTCGTGTCCCAGTCCAGGTGATCCCACATGCCACGGAGCGGCTGGGCCCGTGACCCATGGCCGCTGAGCCTGCGCGTCCGGAGCCTGTGCTCCGCAAGGGGAGAGGCCACAACAGCGAGAGGTCCGCGTACCGCAAAAAAAAAAAAAAAAAAGTCAGAGGCAAATTACAAACTGGAAAAAAATATTTGCAATGTATGACAGATGAGTTAACCTTTAATATAAAGAGTGTCCACAAACCATTAAAAATAAATAAATAAAAGGAATATGCAAAGAGAAAAATGGGCAATGCCCCAGAGGAGAAATACAAAGGACCATTAAATATACGAAAAGCAAATTGAGATCATTTTGGTACATCATACTGGCAAAAGATAAAATAAGGAAACAGAGCATCTTGTGTTGTTACCAAAAAAAAAAAAAAAAAAAACAAACCCAGAATCCTCATACACCACTGATGAGAGTTCAAAATAAGACAGTCTTCCTGGAGAATATGGTAATATGCAGTGATATACTGGTCTAGCTGTACAATGGAATTCTACTCAGCAATAAAAAGGAATGAACTATTGATGCATGTAGCAACATGGACAAATTTCAAAATAATTATGCTGAGTGAAAACACCAGACCAAAAAAAAAAAAAACCCGAAACAAAAAACTGTTTGATTCCATATATATAAATACCTAAAATATGCAAACTAATCTATAGTGACAGAAAGCAGATCAGTGGTTGCCTTGGGAGGGGACAGGCAGAGATGTGGGTGGGATGAATTCAAAGGAACAGGAAGAAACTTTGGGGGTGATGGATCTATATGTTCATTATTTTGATTGTGGTGATAATTTCATGAATGTATGCATACATAAGTGAAAACATAACAAATTAAACACTTAAAACATAACAAATTAAACACTTTAAACATGTGCAGCTCATTGTATGTCAACTCTAGCTTGATAAAGTTATTTTTTAAAAAGACACCATTAAGAAAATGTCCAACTTAAAAATTTTTAAATTGGGCAAAATATTTGAATACAAATTTCACCAAAGAAAATATATGGATGGCTAATAAGCATACGAACGAAAGACTCAACATCATTAGTCATTAGGGAAATGCAAATTAAAACCACAATGAGATATTACCACCTACACTAGAATGACTATAATCAAAAAGACAGACAAGTGTCAGCAAGGATGTGAAGAAAAGACTGGAACTCTCATACATTTCTGATGGGAATGGAAAAGGGTGTACCAACTTTTTTTTTTTTTTTTTTGGCCACTTCTTTTTATTTTATTTTATTTCATTTATTTATTTTATTTTTTGGCTGCATTGGGTCTTCGTTGCTGTGGGCTGGCTTCCTCTAGTTGCGGCGAGCAGGGGCTACTCTTCATTGCAGTGCATGGGCTTCTCATCGTGGTGGCTTCTCTTGTTGCAGAGCACCAGCTCTAGGTGCGTGGGCTTCATTAGTTGTGGCTCGCGGGCTCAGTAGTTGTGGCACACAGTCTTTGTTGCTCTGCAGCATGTGGGATCTTCCTGAACCAAGGCTTGAACCTGTGTCCCCTGCATTGGCAGGCAGATTCTTAACCACTGCACCACCAGGGAAGTCCCAGGGTGTACCAACTTTTGAAAAGTTTGGCAACGTCTTAAAAAGTTCAGTCTAAACTTACCATATTACCCAGTAATTCAACTCATAGGCCTCTTAACTACTCAAGAGAAATGCGAACATATGCTCATACAAAGACTTGTTTGTGAATTACCAGCATTATTCATAATAGTCAAAAAGGGGAAACAATCTAAATGTCTGTGAACAGATAAACAAGAGGTATATTCATTCAAAGCAGCTTTTTTTTTTTTTTTTTTCTTGCGGTACACAGGCCTCTCACTGTTGTGGCCTCTCCCGTTGCGTAGCACAGGCTCCGGACGCGCAGGCTCAGCGGCCATGGCTCACGGGCCCAGCCGCTCCATGGCATGTGGGATCTTCCCGGACCGGGGCACGAACCCGTGTCCCCTGCATTGGCAGGCGGACTCTCAACCACTGCGCCACCAGGGAAGCAAGAGGTATATTCATACTATAAAATACTGTTCAGTAATAAAAAGGAACCACCAATACATGCTACAACGTTGATGAACCTCAAAAATATTATGCTAAAAGCCAAAATCAAAAGACTACCTATTACCAAAACTCACCCAATATGAAAAAGATCATTCAAATAGTTTAATTACTATTAAAGAAATTTAATTCATAGTTTAAAACTTCACCAAAAAGCAATCTCCAGGTCCAGACAATTTCATTGGAGAACTATACCAAAAGTTTAAAGAACTGATACCAATTCTAAATAATCTCTTCCACAAAACAGAAGAGAACACTTCCCAATTCATTTTATGAAGGCAGTATCACCCTTAAGCCAAATCAGCCAAACAAAGTACAAAAAAGAAAAAAAAAAAAAACTATAGACCAGCATCTATCATAAAATAGATAAAAACTGAATCCAAGTGGGGTTTATTCTGGGAATGCAAAGCTGGTTCAATATTTGAAAATCAATCAGTGTAATCCACCATATTGACAGGCTAAAGAGAAAAATCATTAATTGATGCAGAAAGATCATTTGACAAAACTTAACATCCATTCATGATAAAAATCTCCAAGCAAAACTAGGAAGAGAACTTCCTGAACTTGATGAAGAGCATCTACAAAAAAAAGCTACAGTTTACACCATACTTAACAGTGAAAGACTGAATGCTTTCCCTCTAAGATCAGGAGCAAGGTAAGGATGTCCACTTTCACCACTCTTACTGAACGTAGTACTGCAAGTCTTTTTAGTACAATAAAGCAAGAGAAGAAAATAAAAGGTATGTGCATTGGAAAGGAAAAAAATAAAACTGTGCCTACTTGCAGATGACATGACTGTCTATTTAGAAAATCCCAAGGAATCTAAAAAACACCGCTAAGGGGGCTTCCCTGGTGGCACAGTGGTTGAGAGTCTGCCTGCCGATGCAGGGGACGTGGGTTTGTTTCCCAGTCTGGGAAGATCCCACATGTCGCGGAGCGGCTGGGCCCGTGAACCATGGCCCCTGAGCCTGCGCGTCCGGAGCCTGTGCTCCGCAACGGGAGAGGCCACAACAGTGAGAGGCCCGCGTACCGCAAAAACAACAACAACAAAAAAAAAAAACAAAAAAAAAAACACTGCTAGGACTAATAAGTAAGTGTAAGTTAAGCAAAGTCCCAGCATACAGGAGCAACACACAAAAATCAATCATATTTCTATATACTAATATTAAACAGGTGGCAACCAAAATTTGAAACATACTACTCATTTACAATTGCTAAAAAACATGTATTTGAGTATAAATCTACAAAACTTGTCTGATGAAAACTATAAAACGCTAACGAGCAAATTCCCTGGTGGTCCTGTGGTTAGGACTCTGCGCTTTCACTGCTGAGGGCCCAGGTTCAATTCCTGGTTGGGGAACTAAAATCCTGCATGCTGCAAGGTGCGGCTAATAATAATAATAATAATAATAATAATAATAATAATAATAATAACAGCTAACATAAAAAAGTCACAACAGCAAATGCTGGTAAAGATACAAAGAACTGGACCTCTCATACTTTGCTGGTGGGAATGTAAAATGGTATAGCCACTCTGGAAAACAGTAAAGCAGTTTCTTATAAAATCAAACATGTGATTAACATATGACCCAGCAGTTGCACTTCTGGGCATTTATCCCAGAGAAATGAAAGCTTACATCCACACAAAAACCTGTATATAGATTTTCAGAGCAGCTTTTTATGTAATAGCCAAAAATTGGAAACCACCCAAATGTCCTTTGATAGGTGAATGATTATACAAACTATGGTACATCACACCATGGACCACTACTCAGCAATAAAAAGGACAAACTTCTGCACATGGAACAACTTGAATAGATCAAGGACATTATGTTGAGTGAAAAAAAGCCAGCCTCAAAGGTTGCATACTGTCTGATCTATTTACATAACAAAATTCTAGAGATGAAGAACAGATTAGTAGATTAGTACCAGGGACTAGAAAGTTACAGCAACCATGAAGGATGCCTCCACCAGGGAGCTCCTGTGTGATGAAACAGCTATCTTTTTTTTTTTTTTTTTTTTTTTTTTACAGCTCTGTATCTTGATTCTGGTTGGGGTTACACAAATCTTACATGTGATAAGAACTAAACATACACACACAAGTGGATGCAAAACTGCTGTGATTTGAATAAAGGCTGTAGATGGTACTGATGTCAATTTCCTGGTTTTGCTATTGTACTACAGTTACAAAAGATGTTACTACTGGGAGACGCTGAAGCCAGGGCACACAGGACCTCTCTGTACCACTTTTATAATTTCCTGTGAGTCTGTAACTATTTCAAAACAATATATTTCAAAATAGAAAGTGTTTTTTAAAAAAGACTACATATTATATGGAATCGATATATGAAATGTCCAGAAAAGTCAATATAGAGACAGAAAGCAGATCAGTGGTTGCCTACAACTAGGGGGTTGAAGCAGTGACTGCAAACAGGCACAAGGGAGCTTTTGGGGGAAATAGAAGTGTTCTACAATGGAATTGTGGTGATGGTTAAACAACTTTACTATGATTTTTACTTAAAAAAACACTGAACTGTACATTATAATGGGTGAATTTTATGATATGTAAATTATACCTTAATAAAAAAGCAACATAAACATATACTCAGTCAAACCAGAATTATCCAAAAGCCTTCTCAAGCAATCTTACCTGAGATTCCTTTAATGCTTGCTTTCCCCACCAAATTGGGTTGGTATCAACTATGATAACCAGAAGATTCAATTCATCTTCTGAAAATATTAACAAAAAATAAAAAACATTAGCCTCATAAAAGTGAAACAAAGCTAACATTCTCAATTTGTAAATTAAATCCAGAGCAAGCACCACTACATGCCTTTACATGTTTATCATCCTACAATCATGAAATTAACACAAGGCCAAGTTCTTTTAAAGATTTAAAGCTCTGGGGGCCCTTAGCAAGCTCTTGCTTGCCTTCTGTACATCTGTACCTTTCATGCACTAGAATGTAAGCTTTGTGAGGGGGGATTTTTCTTTCTTTTGTCACTGCTTATCCTCTGCTCCGAGCACAATGCCTAGCATGTGGTGAATGATCAATAAATATCTATTTTATGAGTCCAAAGACATATGCATTTTAAATGGCTGGTCAAGGACAGAAAGCACTGATTAACCAGTAGTTAGAATCACTAGTAGAATTTCAGTCATGGGGTGGCAGTGGGGTAGATTTAAAGGGAGACACAGAATCAATTTGGCTCCAAGTCCATCAAATCACCTAGCAGCAAGGCCAATTATACTTAGGAACGAATCTTTAAAAGGTGAAAACGAGGGGAATTCCCTGGCGATCCAGTGGTTAGGACTCTGAGCTCTCACTACAGAGGGCCTGGGTTCGATCCCTAGTCGGGGAACTTAAATCCCATAAACCATGAGGCCAAAAAAAAAGAAAGGTGAAAACCAGAGTGGAAAGCACTTGCTATGTCAAGATTTTACTGTGAAAAAAATTAGGCTACTCTCCACAAAGTGACAGACACAACTAAAGAGGCTAACTTGACATATTAGTTCATTCAACAAACATTTACACTAAGTACCAGTGTTCGGTGTTGGGGATAGGTGTTGAGGATACTGAATCCAAGCCCTCAAGGAGCCTACATTCTGAGGTGACAGACATATGAACCCATAAGCACACACTGTTACGAAAAACCCAGGATGCTCATTTAATAGCAAAAAGCAACAATGCCTTTCCTGCCCCCATACTTTCCATCCTCCAGTTCCCTGTTCCCTGTATCAGGATAATCCCACCCCATCTTTGATGTCTGCTTACATACCCAAATCCTATTTACTCTCTAAGGCCCCAAACCAATGCTACGTCTTCACCCAGAAGTCCTCCCTAGGTTTTCCAACAGGTCCTGGCTCCCCCATCTCAGGAGACTGGAAATCTCAGGCCCTCTGCATCAGGTCCGGCACATGTAATCCTATCATCCCATCCCATGCTGACAACTCAGCAAGGGACTTATTGCCATCTTTCACCATTTTTAAGATGTACTCCCTCCTTTCTTTTCTTTTTTTTTTTTTTAAGTTTGACAGATGCTGAACTGAGGATGATATCTTACCCGTATGACTGATCACATTTTATTTTCTCTTAGTGGTATATTAAATAAAATAAAAGCACGTTTCATAATCAATACTATATTAGATTAGGGGAAACATGGTATTTCTCTTTTGCAAGAGAAAGTAACTTGCTCTAAGTCACATGGCCTGCTAGCAAGTAGCAAAGCTAACACCCAACTTTGAAGACAGATCTGCTTGACTCTAATGACTGTGGCTTTTCAAAGCCCCACTGCTTACTTCTGAACATCAACAGCATCACTTCTCTTCTCATGACAGCACTCACTACCTCATTTTACACTTAGCTGTGTTTCTGATCTCTCTTCCCAGCTCTGCCCTCTAAACCGTGGACTCCTCAAAGAATGAGGAATGAATAATGTAATGTTGCATAAATCACAGAAGAAAGTGCCTGGCACAGAAGAGGCACTTAATTGTGTCTCCCACAGGCCCTCACTCCTCTACCCAAAAGCCTTTGGCCTTATTCTCCATCAGGTTCCACCTCCCAACTCTCAGGGCCTTCCTTGCTACTATCAAGCCTGAGAAAAACAGAAAGTGCTGCCTGTCAGGAGAGGTGTGTATCCATATACACATGGAATGTCCCTATGAATTTCCTTCTTTGGGTCTCTACCTCCGCATTTGTAGACAGGGGCCATACAAGGTCTGCGTCCCTCACAGGGTTGTGATATTGATTAAAACAGATGAAGGATGCGTGCACAATTGTTATGGCCTCTGAAAGGACCTATTTCTACTCTTGCTCTCTGCAGTCCATTTCCCACACAGCAGCCAAAGTAATCTTTTAAAGTCATAAATCAGGGACTTCCCTGGAGGTCCAGTGGTTAGGACTCCACGCTTCCACTGCAGGGAGCACAGGTTCTATCCCTGGTCGGGGAACTAAGATCCCGCAAGCCACTGCGTGGCCAAAAAAAAAAAAAAAAAAAAAAAAAATCGTAAATCAGATAGTAAACCTACCTTGCGTAAAGCCCTAAAACGGCTTTGTATTACACTTAAAATGAGATCAAGCCCCACAAGGGCCCTGCACCTGGCTAGTTCTCTGATTTCATCCTTCTAGCCCACCCTGCTCCCCTTTTTTCTCCCTTTAAGATATCAGGTTCTATAACTGGTAGCTTAATGTATGAACGAAAGTCTCTCCACCTTCCTCTACCCCCGGGTGCCCCCTTTCCGTCTTCCCATTGCAATGTAGTGGCTCAACTTGCCACAGGGTCTTCATAAAGTCACTCAAGTCTTAGTTTCAATATCACTGGTCTTCCCTGGACCCCTATCGAAAGCAGCTCCTTCTTGATCATCCCCTAATCACAATCGACCCCATCATCACTTTATATTGTCGTCACAGCTCGTCACCCTTCGAAATTATTTTTATTTACTTGCCTACTGTCTGTCTCGCTCACTAGACTGTAAGCTCCACGAGTCTGTAACGTTCTCTATGTATCTCCCAGGGCATGAAATAACGCCGGGCACACAAGAGGCGCTCCAAAAATATTTACTGAATGAGTACATTCGCTACTCCTCTAAAGACCAAACAAGTTCCACCCAGCCCCCAGAATATATTGATACTCCATTTGGCCGGTCCTGGCCGGGTAAAGTCCGCTCAGCCCCGGGGTCCGGGTCCCGCCAGCGCGGCCCTCACCGTCTGAGACCATAGCTGCCCGTGTCCCTCAGCGAACAGCCACTTGCAGTCAAGCGAGCCTCCGGGATACGGCGCACCCCGACTTCCGGCGCCTCCGAGTGACGTAAGAGAGGGCTGGGCTCAGGCCGCGAGCCGTAGCCACAGCCCCGCCCCCAAGGCGCCGGAAGTGGAGTGCAGAGCCTTGCCGTACGCTGTCGGTAGCTGTGATTCGGAACCCGCGCGGTCGCTGCATCCATCCAAGTGGCGCGAGCGGCTCTGCTCCGCGTTTCAGAGGGCACCATGGACGACAAGGGTAAATTGGGACGCGACGAGCCTGCTGGGCCTAAAGCGGAGCCGCGCAGGGATCCCTCCACCTCGCACGCCCAGACTGGGCTCCGGGAGAGGTCACTTTCCAAGCTCAGACTGTTTGGCTGGATGTGGTTCCTCTAGTCACAGCTAAAACCACTCGCTGCTCCTGTATCCAGGGAATGGGTCCTGGGGGTATCCCCGGACACCCCCTCTCCCCACGCTTTCCAGTGCCATCCAAAAAAGTGAGACTTCGGACGCATGTACAGGTCTTCGCAGTCTTGATTTCCTCATGTGTGAAGTATGAGTAAGACTCCCTGCCCTGTTGGATCTGGTACTAGAATTAAAAGAAAGGCGTATTTGATTTGCCTGTCTAGTGTGGTTATCAAGGTGTTTTATTAAGTGAAGAACAAGGGCAAACTAATGTGTATACAGTACCTTTCATGTAAAAAACAAGTAAGAGCAGGGTGGACCTCTGCATCACATACACGTACATATGTATGTAGGTGAATACGCTTGACTTGGCATAGACTGGAGGGTGCAGGAGAAATCGGTAAGGAGGTTGGCTCTGGGATTCTTTCCGGACTGGGGTCTAGGGTAAGGGGGAGAATGACCTTTCAGTACCTTTTGATGGGGCTTAAATTTTATGCCATTGTACATGGCTAGCTTTTGCAAGATGAGAAAGAGTTTGCAAATAGTAGAGTGATGCCATATCTATTTCCATCAACATTTATGGTGCCCCTGAAGCCAAACACCCTGCAAAGAAAATATTTTTTAAATTAGTTTGCTTTTTAAAGTCAACAGTCATTGATAAGCTCTCTGGTCGTCTATCCTGCTAAATGAATTTGATGAATCACTTTTTTCTCCCTTCCCAGAGTTAATTGAATACTTTAAGTCTCAGATGAAAGAAGATCCTGACATGGCCTCAGCAGTAGCTGCCATCCGGACTTTGCTGGAGTACTTGAGGAGAGATAAAGGTAGAGACGGTCATCCTCCATCACTCCAGGTGTTAGGAAAGTCTGCTCGTAACTGTTAGAAGTGTAGCAAGGGAGAGACGGATGTGTGACTACATAAGGTAATGCAGCCCCAAGCTCAGCTCCTCCCTCTTTTTCTGTCCTTTTAATGTGAAGAGAGCCCTCAAGTTATCATTGAATGGGTCTCCTTTCAATGAAATACACTTTGAATCAAGAATGACCATATTGGCCTTTCTCACCTTCTGAGATGGCCCACGCTCTGTCTGTGGAGTGTGTTTCTCTCTAAATAAATCCATTTCTTGTCTATCACTTTGTCTCTCACTGAATTCTTTCTGTGACGAGACATCAAGAACCTGAGCTTCATTAAGTCCTGAAGCCAGGTGTGTGATCTCAGTTGGAAGACGGTGCGTTTTGGCCGGGTTCGAGTCCCGGCATGTGGGTTCAAGCCCCAGTCTGAGGTGCGCGGTTTCACTTTGAGAGTAGCAGCTGAAATCGGGAGGATGCTGTGGTTCTTCTCACTACAACAGCAGGTTATGGCAGGGAGCCAACCAGATGGACTGAAGGGGCTAGACCAGCATAGATCCTGCATTTTCTCAAAACTGACCTGCCAGGGCTTCTTCCTGCCAGGGTCCCCACTGAACAGTGGGGAGTGGAGTCAACATTGCAGAAGGTTAGGGTAATGAAAAGAAAAGGAAAAGAAAGAAAGAGAAAGTCCAGAAAAGATTCGGGGAGGAGAACAGAACCAAGAAGTCTCAGAAAGCAGGAGTTACTGTATTTTTAACACCACATAAAACAGTGGAAGAGGGAGCTCTGTGGGGTTAGGAAAGACAACTGAACGAAGTCTTTTTCTAAAAGTTCAGGAAAACTCATTTCACTTCAAAATGAAATGATTGCGTCCAAACCCCATAAAAGTTACTGTAAGGAAGACAGAATGAGAATAACATCCCCGCAGACAATGAAATCACACCAAAACGTAAAGAAAGAAAGAAAGAAAACCCAAAAAAAACAGCGACAACCAGAAAAAAAAAAATCATAACACGCTATTTCACAATGAGCTAAAATTCTTTTAAATGGTACAAGACATGAGACATAATATAAATCAGATTTAGAAAAACAGAAATGTAGTGATAGAATTCAAGAAAGAATTAGAAATAAAAGAAAAAAAGCATTAAGAAAATGACCGTATTATACCAGGTTAACTTTGAAGCTTAAATTATAGCAATAACTGAGCTTTACAGGATTTATTGAGCTTCTGTCTTGTGACAGTTTCTTTGCAGTTGCTTTAGAGAATGTTCCAGTATAAATTCTGGTTTTAATGTCATCATTGTGATTACTACTAATTCAGACATCCTAAATGTAAGCACCTGGGTATAAACAAAATAATAATAATAACAATAAAAATAATAAAGCATTCTTTAATCTAAAGGGCTGACCTAGACATGCATGTCTCTGAGACAACCTCCAGCATCTTCCCATTGCACTTACAATAGCATCCAAACACCTGGGACTTCCCTGGTGGTCCAGTGGCTAAGACTCTGCACTCCCAATGCAGGGGGCACGGGTTGGATCCCTGGTCAGAGAACTAGATCCCACCAGCTGCAACTAAGAGTTCATATGCCGCAACTAAAGACCCGGGGAAGCCAAATAAATAAGTATTAAAAAAAAAAAAATCCAAACACCTAAGCCTTACCTACCCCACCCCGCAGACCTCTTCTGTCACTGCTACTTAATTTCCTTCTATGCTGTCCCTCACTGAGCTGTGCTTCACTCTGGCCTCTCTTTGTTTCTCATACCAAGTTTATTCCCTTCTTGGGTCCTTTGCATTTATAGTCTGCATCTGAGACTTTTCCCACTGGATCTTTACTCGGCTGGATCCTTTCTTACTCAGGTCTCTGCTTAGGCCTGCACTCCAAGAGACCACCCCTGTTAACTGTCTAAAGTAGCTACACCTTTCTCATCATTCTGCTTTTTTCTGTCCTCATTTCAGTCTGTAATTAACTTGTTGATTTCTTTGGGTGCTTGTTTACTGTCTGCCTCTCCCACTAGAAAGGGAATTCTGTCAGAGCAGGGACCCTGTCTGTCATGTTCACTGATGTACCTCTAGCATCTAGAATAGTGTCTGGCATACAGCCTGCACCCAGTAAACACTGGGTGAATGAGTGAGTGAACCACAGACCCATCAAGGGTCAAAAATGAACGTCACACTCCTCATGTGATCATTCCAGGGGAGACACTCCAGGGCCTGAGAGCGAATCTCACCAGTGCCATAGAAACCCTGTGTGGCGTGGACTCTTCTGTGGCCGTGTCCTCGGGCGGGGAGCTCTTCCTGCGCTTCATCAGCCTTACCTCCCTGGAATACTCTGTAAGCCCCTGCCCTCCCTCGGTTACCTCTCTATTTCTCTGTTTGGCCACAAATATTCTCAGCTTTATCTGGATCCTCCCCTTCACCTCATTTTGCTCTTTTCTTCCTAGGATTACTCCAAATGTAAAAAGATCATGATTGAGCGGGGAGAGATTTTTCTCAGGAGAACATCACTGTCGAGAAATAAAATTGCAGATCTGTGCCATACTTTCATCAAAGATGGGGCGGTGAGTAGATCTTGATCACGTGTGGTGATCGGGAGCAAGGACTTTGGAGTTAGACTCCTGGGGTAAAATCCTGCCTCTGCCACTTACTTGCTGTGTAACCTCGGACAAGTTACTTAACCTCTCTGTGCTGCAGTTTTCTCATCTGTTAAATAAGGGTAATAACAGCACCTACCTCATAGGGGTGTTGTGAGGATTAATGAGATGGTATGTGTAAGGACTCTGCACTATGCCCGGCACATAGTAAGCACTGTCTAAATGTAGATATTATTATCATAGGTGGTTGTCATTTTAAACAGGCAGAGAAAAACCCTGGGACAGTATGGATGATTCTTGATTTGATAAGGTGTCTTACTAAAAAAAGTATTTTTTATTACTGGATATGTACTAAATTAATCTGAATTAAATTAACACAGCTCTTGTCATTGGTTCATACTGACTGTCTTCTTGCTGAATGTTAGCACTGGATTGAGATTTTTTTTTTTTTTTTGCGGTACGCGGGCCTCTCACTATTGTGGCCTCTCCTGTTGCGGAGCACAGGCTCCGGACGCGCAGGCTCAGCGGCCACGGCTCACGGGCCCAGCCGCTCCGCGGCACGTGGGATCTTCCCGGACCTGGGCACGAACCCGTGTCCCCTGCATCGGCAGGCGGACTCTCAACCACTGCGCCACCAGGGAAGCCCTGGATTGAGATTTTTCGTCTTCATTCCAAACGCTCTTACAGAGATACCGCCAAGTGCTGATAAGCTGAGTGAGGAAAGACGGGAGCTGCACATCAAGTCAGTCTCCCAGCAAAGGGGTCGTAAAACTTTTATGACGTTTCTCCCGGCAGCACGCCTTCTTTTGCCATCTAAGCCTCCATCGACCATAAAAGTATTTGCTTGCATCTGGACTCTTGTCCACTGTTTATTATCCCTTTCGCAATTTTTGAAGTCTTTTTTTTTTTTGGAGTATGTTATTAAATAAATGACGTAATAGATGCGAGTGGAACTTGTACACAATCCAGCTGCAAACAAAGCCATTTTGGGACCAAGTGGAGGCAAGCCTGTGACTGCCTCTCACCGAGGCCTTCTCCTTCTGCAGACTCGCTGCAGGATTCGTTTGCTCTAGTGGAGTTGAATGCGTAATAACCACCCGCATCAGTGCTATTTTGGCTAAATTTCCAGCACAGCTGCTCAAATTTGAACATGCAGATG